TGTTTGATTTGGCGATCAGCTGTTTTGTTTCAAATGATTTAATAATGTCAAAGATTTGTGATTTTAAATACTAGGGTTGCTTTCAGGGAGGTGAAAGCCAGTTGAGCGGAACAAACTTGATTTTATATTTGTATAAGTAACTAAATGTAAAAAAAGTCAATAGATGCTGTTTTTATTGATTAAAATTATAATAATTCATATTTCTTTTTACTACATCTTGTTATTCAGATACCTCTTCCAAAAGTGCATTATGGTAGTTTTGACCAGGAAAATATTATCAGTTTATTTGGTGCAACACAAATAAACAACCCGATCACCTACCTATAATCTACACTTTACCTTCCTAATCTAACCTTACTTCAAAACACTTAAGTCACGAATACTCATAAACCCCGACCTACCTTCCCCACATGCCTAATTAGATCAGTGTTCAATCTGCGTTTTATTAATAATTGTAATAACTTACTGAACCGTCGATGTAATTCAACATAATATAACCTGTGATGTATTATCGGATTAAATATCGATTTCGATTCGGTTCAACATATCGCTTATTAAATCCTGATTTCTAACATTGGCTGTTTCTAATCAGCTGGCAACACATATAGGTTCCCAAGAAAGTAGTCACTGGTCCTCCACTTATGGTTCTTTTGTTTACATTTTTCTTGTAAACAAAAAACTGTCATATGGCTACTTTAGTCCCATAAGCCTAATGTTAAAATTTGGAAATTTTAAGTTCGTTTTAAATTTCATTAGCATTATCTAATTGAAATTTGTTTGTTTATTAACCATCTCGCTATTAGTCTAAGTAATCTTGTTAAGTTTAGCTGAAATGTGTTCTGCCGTTATTGAGTGATGTTGCTTTATTTGTTGCATTGAAGTTGATCCCAAAGAGCTACGCTCGCTTCGCTCGCTCCGCTCAATAAAAATTATCATAGTAAAGTTTTCTAAATCGTGGTAACTTAATCTCAACTAAATTTACTATTCCCGGAATTAAAATTAAGTAGTAAGATCTATTATGAGTAAACTTTAAGGTATACACTCCTTGATTGAAATGTAGTATACATTAACAGTCATAATACACAGCAATTATTATGTAGTAGACTTTGACTATGTTCAAGTAACAAACATATGTTTCTGTAAATAAAAATTATCTCCTATGTTATCCTTATGGAGAAATACGAAACTTTAAAGGGCGCCAGGGCCTCACTCTCTAATTATTTCCCTAAAAAGAAAGTTTCCTGCACAACTTCACGTTACGCTCTTTCCAATGACACCAAAAACATGTCAATCGGTTCAGTAGTTTCGGAGGAGTAATTGTCACAAAAAACCTGCTTGCGTATTAAATAAGTATAGATATAACATTTTATTGAATTGTTCATCTCTTCAAGTTTAAACTCTTAAGACCAACCAAGCCCAGCAAAATTTCAAAATCTTGTCAACCTCGTGAAGTTCTTAAATCCTCCACCTAATCTGAAGGTCCGATAGAAGATTGCGACCATCGTACGAACCTTGCTCGAGAAAATGTTGAGTCCATCATAGTCTCTTCCTAGATTCATTAGGCCCATGGCTCAGAAAAATTAAGCCCGCACAGGATATAATTACGTACTACTCGGTCACCATACCAACAAACATGGAAACACTGGCTGGCTAGTGTGGACGCAAAACACATCGGAAACTTGGATCTGAAACTGTGTTGACAGACTGTCTGCCTATTGTCCGCGCACAGTCGGCAGACAGTCGGCCGACTCAGTCTCCATGTGTGGACTAGGCTTAAGTAAGACAAAGAAGCTCCTCTGATTTTTAATTACGATTTAATTGGTCAGCATATTTTTAGTCGTATTTAGAATTCAATCAGTTTAACACTTAACCATTCCTATCACTATAGGTATCAGTTTTTCTAATATTCCTTTTCTTATACGAGTAAGTAATTTAAATATATACAAGCTGAATAAAGAGATAATACCATTGGATTTTTTTTTACATTTATAAATTATTTAAGTACTGAAATAACAAACAAACCTTATATTAATTTGAGGATGAGAAAATGTAAGATGCTTCCCTAGACATTGTAAGTGTGACGCAATGGTAGGGAACATGGGCTGGGATGAATAAAGTTGTCTAGACAAGAACAATACCACCCACTGTGAGATCTAGGTACACCTGACGTAACTGAAGGTACGACACTGTTGTTAGTTGTTAGTTGGTGATAAAACATTAATGTTAGACATTAAACAACTATTTCAAAGGTAAAAGACTTTAAACTTTCAATTACATATTATAATAGTATAAAAGAATGTTCCTTGTATTCGACATAACGGTAATGTTAACTGTTTCCTTGTTGCCTTTTAAGTAGGCCAATTGTCTGTTAAAGGTACTTTCTATAAGAAAAACAAGTTCAAAAATAGACAAAGGTTTGAAATATTGTATGGGGAGTTAAAGTTTATTGAGTTCGAAAACCGAATTTAATATCAATATTAACACTGTAATGGTTATTTATTTTCGAGAGAAAACTATTTGTTAAGATTTCAAAGAGTGTGTGTTTTTATCTTTTAGTTTTCACGCTATAAAAGTTCAGTGCTGTTAACCAAAAACCAACCATTTTTTTACATAAACATTTTTATCATTGGATTGTTTCAACCAATCTTTATTAACTAAGTTTAAAAATATTTAAAGGTAAAAGAGACCCATGTTACAAAAAAACCTATATATTGATCCAGTTTAAAATTTTCTAAATGGGCCCAATCAATTGTTTAAAATTTAAATTACAAAAAAAATACTGGTTTTATGAAAACTTTTACAGAACACTTGTATTTAGTATTTAAAAATTCATATCAAACGACTTAAAGCTCAAAAATATAAAATAACAAATAAAATAAATATCATGATTTTTAATTTTAAAATGGTGTAGAAAAGGGTAGAAAAGGATCATAGGTTTTCCTCATTGTACAACCATTGACTATTGGTTAAAAAGATTGTGTATTCGGCAGAATTTAGGAATAAGTTCAGCGCAATCTGTAGGTGGCTCACATCAACTACGACGATTTTGTTGAAAAATAACTGGCTACAAATTTTACATGTGGATGGAATCTCTAGTTGGGTTGTGATAGTCAAAGGTACAACTAAAACCGTGATATTTCAGTTATTATTTTTATTCAATCTTTTTGAATTCGGTGTCGTTAGATAGGCAATATTTTAAATACTGAATAAAATTATTCTAGGAATTATTTTTCATTAAATCAGAAATATTTAGTGATTAAAATTTATAGAATTAAATTGGCAGCCATTTTAAATTTATAAATTGAGCCAAGGTAAATTATTTTATAACATGGATCGCTTCTACATTAACATACACACAATCAAAAGATACACAATCGTACAATCCAAAGATAAAAATATTTATGTAAAAATACAAAATGGTGGATATCTGGTTAACAAAGCGATTTTGTAAAAAGTTGTATTATTGTTTTTTTCTTTATTTTAGCCCAATAAATCACAACGTAAATGATGTCCCCTCCTTTTTTGAACCCCCTCTATAAATGGTTTTCACGTGGTTTACTTGGAGGTTCTACAACAACCATTAACTATGAAGTTGTTATAATTTTTTTTAAATATAAATCTAATGTTGTGAAAATGGGCGAAATCGATGAATCGTAAAGTTAAATAAAAATACAATTATGCATTATTTATGCAATTGCATAAATAGCATTTAGAATTGTATACATAATGACACTAAACCAAAATAATTATCCTTTTTAGATTTTGTAACAAATATATTATTTACTTCAAAATCTGATAAACATAACAACATTAGTTTAAAACATTAGTACAAATAGCTGAATGGAATAGATTAAGAAATTCATATTTTACCTTTTTTGGATTCTTCTGCGGCATAATAATATACTGTTTAAGCACAAAACTTAAACGTAATGACATTTGATTCTTAATTAGATAAAGTACCAGTAAATAATACAAAATAAAAACAAATTGAATTGAGACATTTGTCTTTTTACGCTATCACTGATCAGTCCCAATTGGAGACTACGTGTTTACATAATAACTAAAATATTTGTAAAATATTTTAGAACAAGTTTTTTAGGGGTTTGCCTATGTAAATTTGTATGTTGTATTTGTAGTCATTGTAGGACAAACATTTCTGCGGTTTTTCATGATGTTAATATTGTTGGCTTACAGTCTATGTGTTGTTTATTTTGTTAGCTTACAGTTGATATAGTAATGGTTTTTTACTGTTATTTATTTCTTTTTTTGATTTTTTCTTTTAATTTATGTTAATTTCAAATTAGTTTTTTTGGTTAGCAGTTGATTATTGATTCCCGTTGAGTGTTTTAATGTTTATTCTTATATTCTACGTTATTAAATTTGCAATTAATTTATTAAATCCATTAGCAACTACTTTATTGTTGAATCTCTTTACATAGTAGTTCTTCTTTGTTATAATGCGTTTCCGTCCTAATGACATTCCGTATATTGTTATTTTGGAAAATTAATGATTTATTTAGCAGTACACTATAACTAGCACTAAGTATTTCAACACTATGTAGTAATAATTGTAAGATTGTTTATAATGCACGGTTTTAAATCTATAGAGTGCTAGTTTGATTACAATCAAGACCGATTCTGGATCCAGATGCAATCTATCACTAGCGTATCAATAAGTAATGGTCCTGTACAACAAAAGGTTAACTTTTGACGGTAAAAAATCAAATGTTTAACGGTTCCATTACGAAAAACTTAAAATTGCGCCTACTGCGTAATTAAACACGAAATAAAATATGAAATTATGACCTTTTGGGAATCTAAGTATACTACAAAATAATGAATAAGTATTGTCTTCGTCCAAATCTAGATATAAAAACGTACAGCTATCAATTCGTTGGAACAAATACACACTCAGTGTCTTTTCCACAACCTAAACCAACGCGGGGGGTAATAGGAGGCTAGAATGGTAGGAAGATGCTCTAGGTCAGTAGCAGTCCTGCATCTTCTACTTACATAATCTGATCTGTCCGATATATCACAGACTGGTCTGCTTTCGCCAGTTTTGGCAGGCAGGATATATAAAGGTGTAGCCCCAAGATGCCGGCAGTCAGTGCCCCGCTCTGCCCCTGCCATGACCTCTCACTTGCAAGTAAGTCGGCTTCTGCCTCACTCACTCACTCACTCGCTGACCACTATTGTCATTAGTTCCGCGTCACAGCATATGTTAATATTTCAAATTTTAAAAATTCTCCCTTTCATTCTGTTCAAATTGATTTTACCCTTCATTTCTCAAAAACTTGTTTTCTCAAAAGTTTTCGAATAGAATCATCCAGTTACTCACTCACTCACTGACTGCTATTGTTATCAGTTCCGCGTCACAGCACATGTTAATATTTTAAATTTCTTACTTTTACTACTTTTATGACTATTTATTTTTATTTTTTATTTTCACTTTTTTAATTTATATTAATTGTTTTAATATTCCAGCTCCAATCTTCAGTATAATCTTTAAATATTTCTCTAGTAAAACTGAATGAAAATGTCCGACACCTAATATTATAGGATTATTTAAACTATTTACCTTAAAACTTTAAGCAATTTAAAACAGTTATAAGCCAATCATTAAATTTCACAAGTTAAATACTGATTGATAAAACTTACTCTGCATAGGCGTCAATACAATGAGGATAATTTTGGTTTATAGTCAGTATAACAAGATAATAGAAAAAATTAGTAGTACCGTCCCGTATCATTAACTATGAAATTATAAATGCCTATGTGTAACTTAATAACTATTCTCCCCCTTGTCAAAACAATAGATTTCTAGTTAAGATTATTATTATCTTCTTAGAATTATTACTATTTCTAACTATGGTCGTTACGGAAATTCCAAACAAACCTCGAGATAACAGTTTACATTAGTTATTCTCGTATTCGTAGTACTATTATTATTGTAATTTTCCTATAATCTCTAGTAAGTCGTGTTCCACGCATATTCATTCAAATTGCGAGGATTTCAGTTTTGTCATAACTTTTAATTCAATAATTGGGGGTAATGCAAGAAAGGTTTAACTTTTTCCTGATCCTGGTTGCTAAGAAAATTTAATATACGGCACGCTAATCTCTAAAAGGGTTTGTTTGTTATTCAAATTTTGTTTGTTGCCAAGTGTCCATGCTTACAAACAAAGGAATCAGTCTTCTTTGTTTCCTTTTAACATACCAAGTGTTAAAATGTAGAAACTCAAGCGAAAGCAGATAAACATTCAGTAAACATTGAGCAAAAGGAGACTTAAATAATACTGTACTGTAGTATAGACAGACTCGGCTTATAGGTACTACGGCACTCTGCGCGATTAAATAACAGAAGATTTGTTGGTTGCTAATTTTCTTGATTTTCTTGTGCAATTCAATGATAACTATTGCAGCATTCTTTTTGCTAATTTTTAAGCGATTTTTTTGGGTGAGGTATAGGGAGGTGTTACTGTCAATGTACTAAATTAAAAAGTTTAATCCATCTAATTGGCTTTAATATTTACAAAGGTGAACATGTTGTGTTTTCTTCTAAATTATGATAGTTATAAATATGTTCTCATAACAAGAACATTCGGAGATAATATTGCCATTTTATTAAGATTTTACAAACAAAACTCTAGTAGATGCAAACCAGAGCTAAACTTAGGGAAATCTTTGAAACCTATCTTTCCTTTTTTATGAGAAAAGCTGATGAAATTAGCATTTAAAACATAATCAACAAATAATATCACACAACGTCTTGCAGATATAGTTATCAAATTAAGACATCATTTGCACAGAGAAAATGTTTTTTAAACTTCTTTGGCTACAAAACGTCTTGAGTCCTTCAACATATATTTTTGTTTGCTATTTCACATACCAAACTCTTTGGCACCTTACTTCTCTTTCTCTGTCGATATTCAAACTATTTTTAGTTCATTTATCTGTGAATTTGACCTAATTGAGCTATTTTACTATACCTTTCAATTTTTTAATTGCAATCTTCTGACATATTTCCGCGTATCTGCAATCAAGGAAGTACACCCACCCTCACTATTCATGTTGTCCGAATGTATTGCACAAGCACATTAAATGCATCGTTCGTACAACTCATCATAATCGTCGGTAATCGCGGCTGCCGTCAACCAGACGCTGATGTTTACGGTTGATCTTTGGCCTCAGAAAGCATCTGATGGCAACAAAAGTTACCTCCGCCTACGCCCCGCGGGCTTCTTGGAATTTAGAAGTGAAGGGAAGATAAAAATACATCCTCGTCATAGTTATTGATAGTCATCATGTATCGTAAAAGAATATAGCTTCAAAATGTAACTACCAGTCCAAGAATTGCTTACGTTGAGGTGATTCGGTATAAAAGTATAAATGTTTCCTTAAGTTTAAAATGGTTTTATAATTTAGATGTATGGCTTTTTTCGAAGTTGGCCAATAACATGGTACATTATGATATTTAACAAAATATGAAATCACAAACGTGGTCGAAAGAAATACCAGAATGAATAAATGATTGATCAAATTTAACTACGAATCAATCAAATGTTATATTTCCATTTTAAAGTGTGAGTAAATAAAGTTGGAAGTTATAACTTTATTTATAACTATATTTCAATATATATGTAATAGTAATATAATTTATATACAGTCTTAGAAGATTTATGCTTTGCTATTGAGTTAGTAATGAATTAGTAAATTTTAACTAACTATTATACATTTAGAATAAAAAAGGTATTATTATAACTTATCTTTTATCTTCACAAAATTGTTAGGATATATTCTTTATCATTCGAGGACATAATTACTGTCACTTCCCTAATATATTTAATACAAACTACTAAGTTAAAAACCAAAATCCCCTGAGGATACATTATAATGAATGGTAGGTAAAAATGTCATAAAATCCTCGCTGAGATGGGCAGCTCTCGAATCTGTCTCCAATTAAGTAAATTTCCTTTCGAGTCATCCATCATTAAATTTGTAATCATTTTTAAATTCGTTTTGGCCTTAGGCCAGAGAAGAAACTCAAACATAACATTCGAGTTTTTTCAGCATTCAAATAGTTAGTTCACCATGTAATTTAGGTTCTCAGCCGGAATATTGCATGTCGGATTACATGTCTAGTTCCCATCAGTCCACTTAACGTTCGAAGGATGACACAAAACTAGGTCGTCTCGACAGAAAGCTGTAAAATGTAAATGGAGGCTATAACCAAAGTTATGGCCGAACCATCTTTAAACATGGCCAGGACAGAAACATATTGCATACGTAACACGCTGGGTAGGGCTTAGTGATAAAACATGAGGTCTGATTAACAAATATTTTTTTTTATTTTACATCACTTTTTTCCTAAAGTAGTTTTAGGTGTAGATCGATAAATTGTTTATTTGCATACGTAAATTAATTGTTTATTAGTTTTACTATTGAAGTTATTTCGTTCACGGGAAATATGTTTTCAAATCTTTCCTACGCCAACGTTTTTGTTACTTTAATTTTTAAATATAATATGAAAAAAAACGGTGTTTCAACATCCTAAACCTTGGTTAACTTAACATGTAACATCAATTGCTATACGATGTTTTAATTTTAATTATCTAAAGTATACGATAAAAATGATGTCTTTGAATTTATAAGAGCCAAAAATAAAGTGCTTATTTAAAAATGTTATGGCAATTTAATCATTGTTTTGATTTGAAAAAATGACACAGTTTTGTTCATATCTAAGAATATCGTAAAAATTTGGATATTGATAAAAAAAAGGAAAAACATCTTTTAGATAATCTTTATAGTACTTTGAAAACACGGTAGAATGTATTAGCTTTGTAACATATCATCTGTATCGCCATACATTACTTCAGGAGACTGCCATGCATGTGAAAAATAATATAATTCGTATCATTTCGTTCAGAGTTAGTAAAGATATTCTCCGGTTCAGACAATAGTGAATATTGTACCATTGGAGTGATGCACATTTCAACGTTGAAATAGCTGTCTCTTATACATTGTTGTTTTGTTTCAGCTTTTCTGCGTGCTCGCAGTAGCTTCACTGAGCCAAGCTCTCCCCCAATACCAAACCCCCATCCCCATAGTCGCTCAGTACCAAGATGGGCCCAACCCTGACGGCTCTTATCAATACAGGTATGTAATATTTGAGCGACTTGAGTTATACATTTCTAATCATATAGAGATGTAAGACATATGTACGTTTAAGACAATGCATACATTATATGAATACTCTTAGGACTTCTTAGTTGAACGTTTGAAAAATAAAATTGATGAAATTTAAATTATTGCTATTCTCCCAAAAATTAAATCCTGCATCTTTTACAAAAATTTCAAATGTTTTTAGAGACATAAAGTTGCTCTGAAACTTACAAAAAACTGTATTTTGCGTGTTTTATAATTGTAAAAATATTTCACAATATATGAATAAAGGTTTTACTCTTCCAATTTTATTGGCAATTTAAATAAATTTTAAACAGGATACCCTTAAAATAGCCTCTTGACAAAAATTGAAAAATAAATTCTAGGGAACTGTACTTTTTCACAACTTATCCTCAAATATCTACCCATTATTAAACACAAACCTATCGGAATGAATCAATCACTTGGAGTTTGTAATGAACAATTCGAATTAAAAAGCATCATCAATACGTTTATTAAAAACACGTACTCAACACAAATAGACTTCAACGAGCAACTGAATGTTACTTCTCAGTACAGATGCAGGGAATAAATTTGATATGACGAAAACCTTTGGAAACTGTCTGCAGACGTTAAACCAGGAAACATATATCATTTACCAATTTATATTACATACACCTATCTTCGTATAACCATTTAAACCTGAGTAGGTAAAAGTACAAATGCCAAATAGGAAACCAATATATCAAAGGTCGAACTCCTTCCTTCTCCAAATAAGGAAAAGCCTCAAGTTCAGTGAGATGGCCCAGTGGGTCACTCGGTCCCAAGGCTAGAGGTTAGAGCATCTTGCCCAACAAAACCGGTTCGCCCATTACTCAGTCGGCGAGTAACATCTTATGCATTAACGACAAAGAAGAGGTTGGCATTTGTTACTGTTGCGCAAATGAATCATTCACGAATTAATTTATCATTTGACTACCAGTTTTTTACAGGTTTCCGTCGCTTCATCTTGCTGTTTTGCATAATCGAGTTGTTATAATGGATTGGGCAGGAAAGGTGTTTGATGCGTTGATTAATGTATTTCTATTATTGTGGTTTAAGTAACATCATATGAATATTATTGTGAAACCATAAACATTTTATTTTATTTTATTGATATATTTTTGCAACGACTGTCCACGTGAAACTATTGTTCTATATATTTTATTTTATTTTATTCTCTTAGGACAAGAAATGTCCGAGTTTAAGTTTCTGGTTTTATATTGAAATTTGATTTTATGTGACAGCTGAATGATTCTTTGAACGTAACAGCATGGATAAAACATACTTCTATGTGTCTAAGGCAATAGTTTAGCTATTGAAAAAGTAGTGTACTGCCATCCAGGTGTCATGTGTAGCTTAGAAAGATCCATACGGATTCAAACGTCATTATTTTACTGGTAATATTGTGTCTCACTCTAAACATAAACAATAACTTAAGATTTATAATACAGTATTTTATAATATTATTTGGCTGATCATATTTATATTTCATGAAAATTTTACGTCAAAAAGGCTTATGGAATCTTCTAATGTTAAGAAGTTTTGGATTAAACTACTTTAAAGGGTGACTATGACTAACGCCTCAAAATGCTAAATAGGTACCCAAAGATTTCAACAATTTTCTTTAACCATACTTTCCTCTGTGTAAAGATAATTATAATTTTCCTCTGTCTCCAGCTACCAGACAGCCAACGGCATCTCCGCCCAGGAGCGCGGGTATCTGAAGAACGCTGGCCAGCCCCAGCTAGAGGCTCAGGTAGCGGAGGGCTCCTACCAGTACACAGCTGACGACGGCACACCCATCTCCATCTCCTACATCGCCGACGAGGGTGGCTTCCGTGCCGAGGGTAGTGCCATCCCCACCCCACCTCCAATCCCCCCAGAGATCCAGAGGGCTCTGGAGTACCTGAGGACTCTGCCCCAACAAGAGTACGATGACAACGGCAACCCCATCGGCGCCCCTGTCCAGCAGAACTACCGACCCAACTACGGCAAGAAGTAACTCCTCTAACTGACTTATAATAATAGTCGCTTGAAAAGAGCTTAAGGAAGCTCCTTTTAACCGATTATTCTGCGGGGTGTACAGTTACCCTAGTTGGTACACTAGTCATGGATAGGGATGTTACTTTTGTATTTTTGTACTTGTATTATCTGTAATAAAACATTTTGTTATTTATAATTTGGCGTTTATTTATTTTAGTTTTATTTTCCATAAGTAAATACTACAGAGGAGTTTCGAATTGAATAGTTGAACATATCTTTAAGGGAAAGGGGTCAAAGTTCCTAAAATTTTGTAGATACTCTAAAGCTTTAACCCGTCCTACTAGCTTAAGTAGTCTAAAACAATAAGAAATTAGCTAAAAAACCCAAAACAAAATTGTTTATGAATTTTATTGATTTATTGATTTTATTATGAAACTGGGATAAATCAATATTTATTATTGTGTGTTAGTGAATATTTAATTATGAATTTATCAATAAGTAGTTTGGAAAATCAAGCTGGAAATACGTTGGCCAATCCCGCAGTTGATTAGTTCTATTACAACAAAATACATTACGAGTATACTGAAAATACATACGACTTCTAGAGGTCATGTGTGTTAAACTTAAGATAGAATTTCCCTAATTGAACCCCCCCCCCCATCCCCTTGATCATCGAACTATGTCAAGTAAATATGCCTTCCTTGAGTTGTATGTTTTTAACTAAAGGTGAACAGGAGTTATAAAATCCAAAGTGAAAGTTTCAATACTGGTATTTATTTATTACATCATTAAGTACACAATAAGATTTATTCCTGTGAATGAATACTTCGAATGAAACATCAGCAAAGTTGTAAAATGAATATTTATCTACAGTTTGTACGTTTAAGGTATACTTAAAACTATAAAAGATTGAATTCTATTCTATTTCAATAGCGTTGTTAACTTCTATAATGTTGTATACATGACAATTCAATAGCTTGTATCGATCTACCATTTTATGGTCGTAACACTTTCCTAAAAGAACCCTCCGTTACTCTTTTACAATTTCATTAACATATTATACTAGAAAAGGAGGGCTTAATCACACTTCCTTACACCGCAGTAGTCTTTGATAATGTGGTAAACTCCTGATAGTTTGGATATTTTATATATTTCACTCTGGAGTTTGATTGTGATGTATGGAGAGCCCTTTGTGAGCCTTTTAGCTCACTATTTATGTATTACTTATAAGGTCAATTTTCCATTTTATACTTAATTAGGTTGTTACTAAACTAGTGACATTTATTTGATGGCCAAGTTTCGTCTCAGTTTTACTTATCAGTGATTTTACAAAAATGAATGCATCTTCCCATCTATGGAAAAAAGCTATTAAATATTTGATATTTTTTATATGAATGATATTAGAATAAATTGTCTTGAGAAGGCAGGTTCGTGACGATTTGTCTCTAAACAAACACCGCAACGTGGTCTAACAATATGGTAGTACACGACAAGGTTCTGTTTAGAACGGAGTTAATTTAAGTCTCTCATAACTTTCTCAATGAAGTTAATTAAAGTAATTCCATAAAACAAAAATTCTGCTCTAAATAATAGTAATTACTATTATACTTTACATAATATATTAAGTTTATCTATAATTACATCAAAGTAACTTCAGTTAGAAGACGTGTTTAGTAGCTAATGTCATAAAACTGATGTTCTAAACCATGATATTTTGAATCAATTCTACATTTGTAATATTATTTTGTATGTAAGCTATATTTCAACTTATGTAGTAATATACATGCCTTAAAAACGTTTTTCATGCATGATAATAACTAATTGGGCAAAAGTTTATTTAAATAGTTTGGTAGCATAACCTCTAGTACAAGAAAGGAGTTATACATTTTATTAGTAATATTCTTCACTCAGTTTTCTAAGATCATCAGTTTTCCAGTCATGACCTTTTAATAATATTATAAAACATTATACATTGATACACATTAAACATTAACTAATGCAAAAATGTTGTCTCCAATCTGGCAAGATGGGGATCGTTGAGAGTTAAAAAGGTCACCTTTAAATGGGGATAATCGGAGCCCAAGAGAAGATTAAGTAACCGTATAACCAACCGTATAAAAAATTGGGTAAACTAAACTGGCTCATAAAACAAATAAAGAAAACACAGAGAAGTGCTCTAAATAACACGCAAGTCTAATTTGAAGGCGGCATTAAATTTAATTTACCGTACCTACCTGACTTTACAACTCCCTACAAAAAGTACACTACGTCTCTACACTATTCCATAAATGACTACCCAGTTCCAGGCGTGAAATAGGCCTACTATCAACTACGGGAATTAATCAATTAATAAAATATACACACTTCCTAATATAGATCTAGTCTTTAATAAAAGTCAAACGTTACAGTCCACCCGAATGATAAACTCCGCTACAATCGATATACCAAAAATATTCCAATCCCACCTCAAACACTTGATCATTCATCGATTGAGTTAACCTTTCCCCAAGTGCATGCTAGACGATGATGCACTATGCTAAATGGTCGTTTACAATCACTGGGGTAAATTACAGGGGACGGGGGCAAATGGGGGGGCAGATGACAGACTGGGGTCAAAGTTGATACCAAGCCCATCTGTTGTGAAACTAACAGTAGGTCACTGGCTCGACAAGTCCAAGTGAGAAGTGTTAATGAATGTCCAGATGTGGTCGAATGTTTTATGTGGACGTGATTAGGTTTAAGGTAGTTAGACACTGGCCAAAAACTGTAGTTTCAGAGTGTGTGCCTTTTTTCATAGTTAATTTTAGTTTTTGCATACCATTTTTAAGAAATGATCGATAATGCTTTCCATCTTTTAACGCATTGAAAAACTATATACAATTAGAACGTTATTTTCAAGTCCTTTATTCTAGAAATCACCACAATTTGGAATACACATTTTATCGATTGTATTAAGGTCCCATATAACACTCATCAAAGTGAATGTTATTCTAACAGTCAGCGGGTGTCAGGCTATGTAACGGTCTTCTATAATAAAGGGTGCATTACATGAAAGTACTCAACGACCTTTTGCATCATGCAAATATAATATCGGACAAGTATAGCAGTTAATTTGTGCTCAAGAAAGGATAACGCTCCTCGCTGTTCAGTGTTCAAAGATCAAGATAATTACACCTCGTGCCGACATTGACAGGTTGAAAACCTGAGAAAACTGTGATACATTTGTGCTATAGCCAGGTATAGCACTACAGTTGGTATAGTGCTTGAAATGTGAGACTACTGTTCCGATACTGCCAACCATGTAAAAATAAATTGTGTGACTTTAGGGGAGAGAGTTCTCCTATACGGGGAAATATCTTCTCTCCCCAGACTCCAGAGACATGTCATTTATGTTTTCTTTATGTGTTTGCCTACTTACCGCTTAACATAGTTCCTGGGTCACCTTAGCATTATCATAGAGCAATTAATTGCCATTAGTGAATGTTATGATTAGAACCGAGAGCCTCCCGGACCGAAATACCGATCTCTAAACAATTGACCTGCCTCGTCCCGATCACTATTTTAGCATAAGATTATTTTACTCAGTTATTGAAACCCTAACTAGAGCTATAGTTCTAACTGAATCTAAAATCTAAAACAGTTAGTATACGTATTAATTTAGCGTTTTTCTGTGTATTGTAACCCCCCCCCCCTCCTTCACCCAAAAGCGATTCAATAACGTTGTCATATACAAATGTGATATTTTTTATCGTAAAAATCAATTCACGTGGTTATAACTTTTTAATTAATTAATTTTTGTACATAGTAAAAAATAAATTGTTAAATAATGTGCCGAATCAAAAATGTATGGGAAAATTTTTACTAATTCGAAGATTACCAGTCTCTAAAGTACCTCTTTAATCCATCAAAGTAGCCCAAAAAGCGTTTCACAACCGAAAGTTCAGAGGTTGGGCCGAATTTAGGTTAGAACGTGTTTCCCTTACTCGCCTGTGTGAGACTTAGAGAGGCCCACATCAATCATTGCCTAAATATCTCATAATGAGCCGACGTTTCCCAGGGCAGAGTCTGATGATTAGCCTAATGATTGGTTAACACGTAACTCCCTTTACAGAAACGTCCTCAGTACTTAATCATATCAAACCAAACATTTCGTTGACTAATTGGCCTTTCGCTGACTTTGAACTGTTGTTGGTAAAATGTTTACAGTGCACGTAGCTTTTTTCCAGTTGTGGTGTTTCGTTTTTCATAACGTTTTAGTACTCTAAAGACGCATTGATGTTTTTAGTCAATTTTAGGGTAAATGGTATATACTCTTAGATGTATCAACAAAACGTTCTTATCAATAGTTGTCGTGGTAATTTAAAAATGTTTACAATCACATACTCAAATAAGAAAAATCTAGTGGCAAATATTTGAACACATGCTACTTACACGAACAATTACCTATCAGAGTATTTTAAATATAAACTTTAAAAATGTAACCATACTAGACTGGACTTTTTTAACTTTCGTTCAACACTTCAACATATTAATACTAGGCTGTATTATGTAAAAAAAAAAAATTAATAAGATAAAATTTTCAGATTGCATCTTTAGAGTAATTATTTATTATTTTTTATACACAGTATACCTAAACACTACTTTGATGTTCATACTTAATTCTCATAACGTATAGAAAATCCGTTATTTCTACCATTTACTTTATAATTTATATATTGATGCTGTCAAATATTTCAAATTAAAATCAAACCAATACAAATCAAATCAAATTAAATCCACCGTAATCTATCTAATTCCCATCCATCTAATCAAATAAAAAGAAGTCTCCTTACTCAAGAAGATGGAAGCTTCACAGTGTGAAATCATTTTTATAGTTTTACATAATCAATCACTGGAGATGCAGATCACATGTTCGGTCCATTATAGTAAGAGTACCAGACACTGACAGTCATCAGCCGACCTACAATTAGGGCCCAGTGGTTCGGAACCCATGATGGGCGACATCGCAGTGTGTGACCTCTTACCCAACGATGACTGGTAAGTCTGGTACACCCACTGTGTTATGTCATCCACAGGTGGACTTTTATATTGCTACTCGCCGACGTTCGATGTAGAAGAAACTCTCCAAATCTGGTTTTCAGAAGGGTCAGCAAGCGATTTTATTGAGGCTTTATTAAAGTTCAGTACCTCTGAAAT